TTCCGCTTAGGGGGACGTCATCATTGATGTCAATCAAAGATTTACATCTAGCTTAATTCATTGAATCAATACATCCATGACTTGTACCAACAAGTCAAAATTCATTTTTCCATTTTCCACGTCACTTCTACTTTTCAACACTTCGAACGACCTAGATCTGATGCCATTTTTGAAAATTAAGGCCAATTCCCCTAAATTTATCTTCGTAGGAAAAATAATTGCTCAAGCTTTCATACTCATTGTTTTTTGCTGGATAAATTAACCACAAAGAGAACAAGTAAACCCACCCGATGCTAACACGTGCAAACCAAAAAGAATACGTTGCCAATTGCCTCACCAAATGATTAATGATATCTTTTGGCATATTTTTCTTCAATCACAAGAATTTACCAAAGAAAATTCCACCTTATTTTTCTCTATCCATACTATTGTGTTGATTCTTGCATGTTTGAGTAAGCCACCATGGTAAGATAAACCAACATATTGTGAAATAGGTTGCCTTATTTATTAAACTATGTAGTCGCTTTCACTTTTACTAATAATACACGAAAAAGAAAAGAATGATTCCTATACTAATTATATGATATTAAGATTGTGTTTGGTAGCCATTTCCATCTTCATTTCTAGAAGAATTTGCACCATTACACTGTCAAAATGCAACCACATTTAATGTCCAGCAGAAGCTGAATTACATGTTTACCTTTTTTTGCATTCATTTCAAAGTTCAAGAGGGAGCAATTCGGTCGATTTCCATGCTGTTGAGTTAAAAAAATGGCTGCACATGGCCCACTGACTGTTTAAACGGGCAAAATTTTTCTAAATTGTAGGGAAAATGGGAAACAAACGGGGGTTAAAATTTGAAATCATAAACTGTATTGTTAATGTTTGAAGTCTATGTCCTTGTTTGAGCCCCATTTTTTAATAGTATAATGATGTGAAATATGTGGTTAAAAAATGAGGAAATGTTTTAGATTTTTGTTTAATATTATTTTATTGAAGAATGTGCAGTTGAAATGATATCAAAACATTGTTTAAGAATGTATTTTTAAAAAAAAAAATGGGACTCAAACAAGAGCTATATCTTTATTTAATAGTGATTTGACATCCAAAAATTGTACTTCATTATTTGAGGTACAAAGTCAGGGTGTACAAGGACCTTCGATCTGATTTCAAAAGAATTGAAACGAACCAAGAACTGTGTACTTTGTAATTTGTAAATGAAATTGTTGGGTCCAACTTAAATTATAAAATCAAATTCGAATAAAATTTAGTTCGATTCTATATCATAATTAAAATATTCAATGATCTAAGTAATTCCAACAACTATTTTCATTATTCTAACGTTTAAAATAACATTACAATCTAACAAATGAAGATTTCATCTGCAAAATGATAAATATAGTCCAAATATAAAACATAGTGGACAGTTGGGCCTTGGACATTGAATGAGTGAAGAATTAGAACATGCATGAGCTGAATGTTTTCAGGAAAAAAACAAGAATAATAAATGTTTAGCAGGTTCATTTATCAAAAAAAATATGGAAAGTAGTGTTCATTGGTTCCGGTATAGAATCGAGAATTGAATCAAATTCATCGATTCTAGATTTCAACATCTATTACCCAATTAACTTAAAAAGAAAAAAAAATTGTCCACCCCTAATACGGATTCATCTATATATAGATTGTAAGGACTAGAGGCCATGCACCTCTCTATAATACCAATGTGCTTATTTGGTTCTCGGTGTTCTTAGATTGATTTTGTTTAAACTTCATTCATAGTCGTAACCTATTTGCCAGATAAAGAAAAATGCATAAGATGCAATGTGATCTCGTCACTTACCTTTCTTAATGTCAAAAGGTTGAACATATTTTGAATTCACTAGTAATTGTGCTTATTGATTTAATCAGGATTGATCTCCTGCCCATAGTGAATAGAAAATGTCTTACCTATCGATGAGGTGGCAAGACCCGTGGAATCTAAAATACTAATGAGACGGTATTGGTGGCAAGATATCTCCTGCTAATTAAATATGGAGTAAATTATAGTGTACACTAGTGTATTATGTTATTCACTCTATATTATTTATAAGATATTAGATATTATATATATATATATATATATATATTTTTTTTTTTTTTTTTTTTTTGGGGGAAAAATGTATTGGATTTTTAGGTGTTTTAGAATTTTGGATCTGAATTTTGTACGAATATTGTTACATTTTAGAGTTCAATTAATAATGATTATTGGAGTTATTTGATATAGTTATTTTTTATTATGTTTTGTGGTTGATACATGTGAATCACTCTAATTAAAAAAAAAAAAAAAAAACAAAAAAAACCCACCCCACCCCGA